CGGCCCCGACGCCCCGAAACCCAGACGCCGCCCTCGGACCAACCGGGCCCTGTGGACATGGCCGACGGTCCCCGGCGGGAACGGCACCGACCCCCCACCCGTCCTCGGACGGGATGGAGGGGAAGCACCTGGAAGCCGGCGGGCGCACGCCTCGCCGAGCCGGCGGGACGGCCGTCCACAGCGCCCTGCGAGCACCCGGCCCGAGACGGAGGGAGGTGAGGCCTGCTCCTCGCTCATCCGCCCCGCCGCGTCCAGACAGGCCGCTCACACCCGCCCCGCGCGTCCGTCCGTCCGTCCGCACCCGCAGTCCGACAACCGCGGGACGAGGACGCCTCTGAAGACTCGTCTGCACCGAACACGTGCAGACTAATCCCTTCTTGCCATTTCCTAGACAATACAAAACAGTTGCTGGTTACCTGCACTACACTGTGGAAGGTATGGTTTGTACCCTAGAAGTAACTTCAGAGGGTGGATGGATGCAGTCATGGGTAAACGTAACACCACCGTGTGGTGGCACATGCGTGTGTACGTGTGTGTATGGATGGATGTGCATGCACACATATGCGTACATACATAGGCCACTTGCACAAGGAACTCAAACATCTGTGGGTATTGAGCTCTGTGGCAGGGATGTCTTGGTCCCTATCTCCTGAGGACACCAAAGGATGATAGCATGTTATTCCAACTGTGAAAAGTGTTTCACTGCGGAGCAATTTTCTATACTGCCCTCCACCTCTAGGCATTCAGTAGTAAAACTCAACTACAAGGTATGGACACTGCAGATTAAGAATGAGACGTTATGTACATGCACTGCTTCCTTTCCTCACAGAAAAGCTGTTCAAGCACAGAGCGAGTCCGCAGGCATGCGATGCTCACCTGCCCGTGCTGGGACCTAACGCTCTGTGACAAAGTCATCTGTGGGGCAAGTCAAATCACCGGACGCTCCCTCTACCACCCAGGCACCGCACGATCCTGTACAGCCCTGGTTCTTGCAGCCCAGTGGTGCAATGCACTTTGCATTTGCAATCCGTCATTTGGGCTGCCCTTTACAAAGCCACAAATGCTAGGTTGGGAGCACCCTGGCATCTCCACTGTTCCATAAGCACACACCCACACAACCAGAAAGTGCCTTCCTAACTGTGAGAGAAAAAAAAATGCTCAAATACCCTCAGTGGGCAAACAGATAACTCCGCCCTGGCCTGGGAGGAAGGATCTAGGCCTTGAATTATGACAGAACTAATCACTTGAAATATTTTCTGATAGAAAAATGATGAGAGATCATGAAACCCGAGGATTCTTCATGCATCAGAATGTGACGAGGTAGGCTGTACAAACCCTGACAGTGGCTTTCTAGGAAGAAAACCAGAGATCTGTTAGAGCTGGACAAATCATTTGAGGTTACCATCTGAAAACTCAGAAAACAAAATACACATGCGGGCTTGACAGTGACCAGGGCACACCACGGTCTTCGCTCCCTCAACAGTTAGACTAATGAAGACCAATAGACACTTGAAATGCTAGGGTTTCTGACATTGGTAAGGCATGTGGAAGATGAGGATTGGAGACAGTTTTGAATCCTGAAACATCCTGAGTTGTATATACTTGTTATATTGTCGTCTTTCACATGTAACTCAGACAGATTCTTTACTTCTCAAATGAAAATTTTACTCCATCTCCACTATGATTTAAGCCTACTTACACTCACAAGTCTTAGGAGCTAATGGTGTACTTCCTTTTATTTTTCTGATGCCTTGTTATTTTTATGACGCCTGAGTCCTATCTATGATTAAGCAAATGCACCCAGAGAAATAGCATGTTACCTGGCAGCTGTGGTAATAAAATTCAAGAACTCAAGCTAGAGACCTGATAAGGTCTCCAGGAAGCCACTTTCCTGTAGCTTATCCATCTTTGCTTGGGATCTTAGGATCAAGTTGTGGTCCTTAACGCAAGGGTTGTTTTCAGTGTATTGGGTGTTTCACTCTTACTCCTGGTAGATCAGTGAGGATGCAGATGACACAGGGCTGTGTGCTGATAGTGGTAGAGGGCTTGATGCATAAAGAAGTTAACTGAGGTAATAAGGAAGTGTGTAAGGAATGGATCTAGGGTTCTAGCAATTACAGTGAGTGTGTTTCCCAAACATGTAGATGAGCAGAGGTCACTTGGAAATATGTAAGCAAAAAGAAACAAAAGTAACATCAATTTACTTTTCCCTTAGTTACAACCAAGTGAATCTGTGTCATCTCTAAGGAGCTGGCCTGTCTCCTACTCACCAACGAATGTATTCCTTGACACAAGGCGGCACTAAAAGGTCTTTTTTTTTTCACTATTTCTTTTTGCCTCAATAAAAACTAGGGCGTGATTTCTCAAACACACTTCCATGCATCACTATTGGAACTGAAGATTAAAAATACTAATCTACCCTACAGCACCTCAGTGGGAAAGACCACTTAACCACCCCCCTTAGGGAACTTGAAATAGAAGAGCTATCTTGGATACTGTTAATTATCTATTTATTTGGCAAGGGTTGGCAGAAAATGTCTTTACTTAAAATATTCTGGGACTGAAGAAGGAGCAGCCAAACAAAATGTCTGCAGTGTTGTTCTGTCAACATGTACAGATGAGCTCGATCAAAGACCAATGTGGACAGTTTGG